ATATAATCTCGACATTGAGCATCAAATCCCCTCAATATAACAACAGACAATTTTTCAGCCCATTCTATTCTAAACTCCTCCAACTTTACAATCTCCTCATAGAAAATACCACTTTCAAGACCTTCCACTGGTTCTACATTACCATTTTGATCACCAACTGATATTCCCAGCTGATCACTTTGACCTGACCATATCTCAAGGAAAAAGACGTCCTCACACCATTCCTTTAAAACAGATTCGAAGTAGCGAGCAGCATTAATGGAGTTTGCAACTTTAACTAGGGCATCATCATCCGTCAAGGCAGTCAAACCTTCAGCTTCTTGGCACCTGATGAGTAAGCAGTCCAAGAATTTTTGTATAATAGGTACCGCAGCTAATCTGAGAAACCTGGACCTCATAGAGATGCTAGGCAATGATCGACAACGATCAACCACAGATGATAGACAACGAAGATAGGCACTGCAAACTGCAGGAGCTTTGTAATCTTCAGTAGCAGATAAAAGAACTGCTCCTTGGACTTTCATGGTCCAATTTCTCTCATCACTAGTGTCAGGTTTCAACTTTTCTAGTATATCACTTAATTCTATCTCTGCCCATAAATCAAGCCAATCTGGTCGATCACAGAAAACAGATAGAGAAGAAACCTTTGAGAAGTTCCCATCATCCTGAAGTGAAAGCAAGATTCCAGAATGTTCTATCAGAGACTTGATTTGTTTATCAAACGATATCATCAAGTCAACAAGATGAAGCCAGGATATTCTAGCCTGTGACTGACTACCCGTTACGCTATCTTCATCCAGTTGTCCAGCATATTTTGGGAATATCTCTTTTGCCAAGTATGTTGATAAGGAAGATACCATTGCTGAAATCCATTCTTCTCTGCAACTGTACCCTGTTAACATTGCTTCATCAACCAGTGGTTGCAATAACTCATCCATAGAGTCAACATAATCCCTGGTGATCTTGTAGACAAGAGCAAATATAAATTCTGGCTTATCAACCCATTTTGTGAAATGGCGTTGGGATGCCAATGATATAGGATTCACAAGCTCTTCAATCACCCAAAGTGGCTGATGCAGAGCAAGTTCCCGATTATAGCCCTCTAGTTGACGCGATTTTCTTCGTCTCTGCAACTCCTGTAAGCTGCACAAGGCAAAAAAGTTTTCACAGTACTGGTCTTTGAGGTCTCCTTGCATTGTGAAAAGAGGATTCAGAACTTCAGTTGATCTCCCTGCATCTGGAGTTGAGGAAGTCAAAATGGCAAGAGGCGGTGGCCATCCAAGGGAAGTAAGGAGGGCCCGGTGATCTGCTATAGCATGGGGTCTTAAAATGGCCAGAGCTCGATCTACTCTGTGATCAACTACTGACACAAGATGTTCCCATTGAGGGTGTGTCTTTGTAACTGAAGTTAAAATATCTTCTATCAGTTTAAGTGTTTTAATAGCAACCAGACGCATTTCCTGCAGGGGAAAAGAAAAAGGCGAATTAGGCATAAGAAATAGTGATTTCAGAAATTGTAATCCCTACATTATTTTGTTTTCACAAACGACAGGACGGGTGCTCACTTCTGAGTTCTGTTTCGACGAATGCTTCCATGAGTTTTTCTTCATGGTAGACGATACTGCATCTTCAATATCACCAATCATAGTTTGAAGCTTCAATGCTGTCTCTGAAAGAAGAAAATAAAAGACCCAGAAATGTGAGACAGTTTGATTTCAAAATAACAGATAGTAGTATGCTTTGCAGCAGCTAATAACTGTAACAAAGAAAAATGTAGCACATGCCTATAAAACAGGGAAGAAAGAGGCCAAGCGAGTGCACCAAATACACAGTATGAAAATTGCAGTAACTCAGAAGTAAAAGGACAACTTCACATCAACGAAAAATCTCTCAAAAATGTGAAAAGCAAATCTGCCTGGATGATTTAAAAAATTCAAAATAGTTAATTTAAGCATTATTAATAAAGCCTTAATATTTCAACTAATTAAGAAGATAAGATTGTACTGGTTGGAGCTTAATCGCATGCTGTCCATATTTCAACTCAAAAATATTTGATTGGGAACCATGAAGAACTGGGATTCTCCCATCTTGTAGCATCGCAAAAAAACATTTTCATCTTCATGGTTCAACATTAGCCATCTCTTACTGCCTAAACCGCTTTTAGAACAGTGGAAGCATTCACAATACATACAACTGCATTAACACAAGAATACAAAGCAAAATGGACAACTTATCAAGAATTCAAGATCAGTAATTTTCAAGATAGAAGACAAATTGGTTGGGCTAAGTAGATTGAATTTCTTATTCATCTCATTCTCTACTTGCACAAATAATTGAAGCATCAATGTAGTATTTCATAAACGATGTTATTATTATCCAGGGAATGAGGAACAATCCTTCAATTATTCTTTTGTGGTGTCTTTCCAAACAAAATGAGCTAATCGAAAAACAAAGACAATCTAAAAAATTATAGCTTTCAGCTAAAACTAGTTCCTTGAATTTATTCATTCACTTTTATTATTGCCCAAGAAAGTACCTGCGTATGTTCGAACCGACTCAACCCTCGCCACTTCCTTCGCCAATGCCGGCAGCTCCTCCCCCAAAATCTGCTCGGCTCTCTCCTTTCCTTCTCCATCTACAAACAAAAAGTACCAGAATTGAACAGAAAGAAACGAAATTTAACCCAAAATCGAAAATCTAAATGAGAATTGCACACTTCTCAATAGCAGCACACACAAAACCTGAACTGCGAGAGCGAGTGGAGGATCCGAGACCCGTCAGTTGGGCATTGATGTCGCCTAAGACGCCGTGGACCCCATCGGAGAACGAAGCGTAAGCTAGAAGTGAGGACCCGAGGCTCCGGTTGAGGTCGATTAGGGTTCGATCCAAGTCGCCGCACTGGGTTTGGAGCTCCGACAGGAGAGTCGGAGCCCCGTTCAAATTTGCATTGGTCCGGAACTTGTCGTTGAGGAAGGTGACGATCGAGGGCGAGAGGTCGGAGGCTGGAGGTAGCGCGGATTCCATGGTTTCAAGCCATTTCGGTTCGGTGGTGCGAGTGGGAAATTTGAATGGAGCGAGAGGGTATTTTAGGGTTTTTAACGGGAATTTTTGCGACTAAAAGCTGTGCTGTGCTTTGCTTTCGTTGAGAGGCAGAGACTGAAATTTGACTCCCACCAAATTCCGTTATTGATTGCGCGGGTCCACCCGTAGACTTAACTATTCTTGGGCTTATAAAAAAGGTATTCTTGGGCTTGGTCTGGGCTTAGGCTTTAAAAGAACATTGTGAATGGGCTTCAAATGGGCCCATTACAAGTGCATAATTTTTGTTCTCACGAACATTGGACTATTGAAATGGACCTAATACCTCAATCCAGTCCAAAAGATACTTTGTAGAGAACTTCTTAAGAGTTGTTATTATCTGCACTCCTCGTATGCATTTGGACGTATGGACGAAGTCATTCTATGGTGAGGGTGCCATATAGGAACCATAAATATAGACCTTCATATTAGCCATATGATTCATTTGAATAGTAATTTCACTTAAGTTTAATGAAATGATCCTATGGCTAATATGAACGTCCATATGAGGAGTCCGACAGAGATGAATCATATATGTATGATTAACTAGGTCTATACAGCTCACTCGAGTCTACCCATAGCACCCCTTCACGTGTAAACCCTTCGGTAACCAACATCAATTCCATTTTTTTAACCTAGGATCTTTCATTTTAAGTTGGTATCTTTTGTCATTTTGTGTTTCTAAAGTGATAGCACTGAAAATTACTAATTGATTGCATTAAAAATGTTTGGGCCTTGAGGTGGTCCAAAAGCGTGCCGCAAGGAAGGAGGAGAGAAAAACAAGATGGGTGGTAGTAGTTTGATTTAGTTGATCGTCTCTCTCATTCATGCATTGCGTTGCGTCATATCAATTTTAAACACTTATCCCTACTTTTGATTGCCTCCCTTTATACATAGTGCAGATGAAACCAACCCACAATGGCAAACGCACCTACATTTTGGCCACAATGTTAGGCTTTTACACTTTGGACCACTTGAAACATGTCAATGAAAACATGAAAGGCTAAAACACACTTTCTAGCCTAATAGTAATGCAACCCACAAAAGAATAGGAAATTGCATTTGTGACCAAGTGTTGATTGGGTTTTGATCGAGTGTTGCGTGTGGGAGAGAGAGGAACAACTTGCACTTGTGAAACGTTTGATTAAGAACTGGGTTTGGATGGGATTTTGTTTTTACTGTCTTGTGGGTTGCCAAAATGTGACAATGATTGAAACCTAAGAAATTGACATCGTGTAGATGGGATTGTTTTAGTTGATTCAGCCTTTTTCTTTCGAAATTCCCTTTTGATCTTTTTCCTTTTTAGTTCTTTTTGGTGAGCAGCAAAGGAAAGGATCCCAGCAGTAAAACTCTGCAGCACTCAAACCGCTACTTTTCTTAACACAACATCATAACAGTACAGTCTCTAGCTGTAACACGCAGTTTTTTCCACCTGCACCTCAAAATGGTTCTCTTTGTTTTTCCATTTTCATTCAATTTTCATAAAAAGTAAAAAGTTCAGGGTCCAGTTTTGCTTTCCTTTTCTGGGGTTTTTTTGAAAACAACCCAACAATGTCCATGTTTTCTAAAAATAGCTCATGGAATTTGATGATATCAGCAGAAAGAAAGAAAGAAAGAAAGAAACTGTCATTTTATTACCAATGGTAAATTTACCAAACTCCATATGCACAGCCGCACAAGGATAAAAGAAAAGGTAAAAGAAAAAGAAAGCAGTAAAAGCAGATGCCAGTAAGTACAAAAATGAATTGAAGTTTGTCGTCTTCTTTCATCATCGTCTTCTTCTTCTTCTTTCCTCTGCATTTTGATAGGTGGAAAACAGAGCAGAGGCAGTGAGTTTAATGAGGCAAACGCGCTGCCCACGTGAGCACTGAAAACAGAGGTCCTCGTGGGGTCCCTGGCACAAACCCAGCAGCACAGTCAGAATCCGTTTTCCACATTAAGGTACAGTTTTTGGTACTTTTATTATCTTTATTTTCTGGTGGATTGCCTCCAACAAAGATTTTCTTTTTCTTTTTTTTTTTCTTCTGCAGCTAAAAGTACCGTCTTGCAGAGATCCAGGCAACCTACATGGAATTTCTTTGCTTTTTCAGCGGTAACGCAATACAGTAAAAGAATATGACCATGTGGCCTATAAACCCTGTAACTGTCTGATAAAAAGGTAAACCAAAACAACCCAATTAAAAAATACAAGGAAAAGAGAGAAAAAGTGAGAATATTTACAGGCCTAATCAATGTCTTCTGAATGATATCTAAGTTCTAGATTTTTTGAGACTTCAAAATAACCCAAAAAAGAATACAGGCCTGCTGAATGATTGCAGACTTCACATATTGTAATTTTTTTTTCCTTTGTGCCTTCTGTTTTTCTATATACTTACTTCTGTTGAAAAACTTTCACTGGCTGTCTGTCTGTCTGTCTGTCTGTCTGTCTCAAGAAGAGCAATAGAAAATCTGGGGAGACTAGAACAGAATTTAAGAATTAGAACTGTCTAAGTTAACAAATATCCAATTCCATGTTCTGATAAAAATTGGCTGGAAATTCTATAAATAAGGCAAAAATAAAATAAAATCTCAAACCACTGATCTGGGATTAAAAGGATCAATTCAATTATATCCAGAGGAACAGCTGAGATTACAGATATGGTATTTCACCTTTACTTCCTAAACAAACAGACAGGGACAAATAGAGTGCCGAATCTCACTTTCTTCGTCGCCAATCACAGGAAAAAAGAAACCCCTGTAAATACCAACAAAAACCAGTCACGAAAGCCATTCCCCCAAGTCACAAAAACCAGGTTTCATACATACAGCTTTTCAGGAGCAACAACTGTCATAGCTGAAGAACACATGTCTAAGAAACATGCATGTATCTGTCAATGCCATTGCCTATGACGTATGGATCAATAACAACAAAAGTAACTCACCACAGCTTTTCTGGACACATTCATGTAAGCCTCATCATCTCTATCAATACACAAGCGGTTGCTACATCAGCAATGTATTTGAATTACTCTTCCTTATTTTGTGTTTCCAAATTTATGATTTCAAAATACCCCTCCTTTCGTGTACATTCATAGAATCAAGCCGTCCTCAATCCAGAATCTGCTATTCAATTGCAAACACATAAGAGAAACCCTAGCACCCTTCTCATTTCCTTGTCTCATCAAGTTCATTAAGAAAGAAAATTAAAACTTTACCAAATAAAACGAAACACCATATACTACATCAGATTTGTCTAGAAGATAATTCACAAAAGCAATGTATCATCATTTTTGGTAAAGAACAAGAAAAGAAAAAACCCTCAAAAATATACTGATGCAGTGGCAAGCGGCTGCATCAAGAGAATTAAGAGCCTATTTAATCACAATAGATGGGATGCATAGATGCCTGGCCTCTCTTTTTTCACTAACTAGATAACTATGACTATCCTCATAGCAAAAGATAAATGACTTTCACAATGATTATAATACAGTTGTAGCCTAACCAAATGGTAATGCAAATGGTTATGCAGGGAAAAATAACGGGTGTGACAAGAAAATGGGTATGTTTATTATGCTCATGAAATAACAATAAGATGGAATGCACAGCAGAATCATCAAGAAAACAGAAGGAAAATATGAAGAACAAAATGACAAAACCACAAGAAATTATTCGTATCCAAGAGTATCATGAATCTTTCAAAACTCAGCTTATACTCAAAAAATGAAGGTCATAAAATTTGCATGCATAAAATAACCAAACATCTATAGTTCCTGGTGGCTGTATCACAGAACCTCAAATGAGGGAACGTGCTCTATGTAGGAAACGATCAGGATAATAAAGAGGAAAACCTGATGTAAATGTCCCACCTGTGGTTGAAAAACTATCTAACTTGATCTGAGGCAGAACATATTGACAGTGAATTTCGCCATGTAGTTGCTCTCTGATAGGCCATTAATTTCAAGACCATGTTCTCTGAAAACCAGTAATATATGAGGCTTAAAACCCATTATTTCAACCCCAGGATTGCCATGAGGCCTTGAAAATAATGCCAGGGTTTCATTAGATCACACTGAATGACCAAAGGCATGGTCAATGGGGTCCAGCCTGTGCTTTAGCTCATGACCATTCCAACTTGATAAACCAGAGCTTAAAGATGGATTACTAGATAATATAACTACATTCCCTTTTTGTTTTTGTACGCTTTATCATATGTATTTTCATCTGACCATATTGTTCTGTTTATGTCTCTACATTGTGTATAATTTGATCAGCATGGAAAGGCAAAGCCTAAATATCTTTCTCAAAAAAAATATACATAAAAGTTAGTTTATGGATAAATATATACGGTAGTTCCAAAATGATAGAATACATTGTCATTACATATCTTTTCTCTAACTATTGATCAGTGTTGATCCTATATATTGTACCTTTTGCCAGCTAACAGACCTTAAAGAGAGTGAAATTTTCCACAAATCATTCAACTTTAGCAATAAAACTGAGCAGCCAAAGTGCTATAAACATTTATACTTCACAATTGCAGTTCTAGAGGAGAAAGAAACAAAGAAATTAAGTTCACAAGAAAAAAAGAAAAGAGAGGGGAAATTCAAGTTAAAGTTCTTCAACCAGATCAAAAGAAATACCAACCACCTAAATTATAGTTTAGGGTCCATTCAGATTGCGCAACACCAGTGTGTAAAAGAACAAATAGAATCACAATAGGATAATAAATGTAGAACAGAAACAGAAGTCAATTTTCTTTTCTTTTTTGAGAACTTGAGATATAATTGCTTGAGAAATAAAGGAAACGAAAAACTTGAACCATTACACAATTCTGCAATGCTTCAATAAAACTTATGAAAATAGTCATCACAACCTAAAACATGTACCAGTACTTCAGTTTATTCACCTTTGCCCATTCTACATGATGCCAACCTTTCAGAAGCTCAAAAGTTACCAAAGGGGGAAAAAAGACGCAACGCAATAAAGTTCAAAAGAAGAGAAAAAAGGAAAAACAACTCTTCAGGCCTCCTTCTGTGAATGTATCTATGACTCTAAATAAAAACCTGAATTTCCCCAAAAAAGGAGGGCAGAGATTACCCACAAGCCGGAACCCCATCTCCTTGAAAAGCGAAGATTGCAAATTCCACCCAGGATTCCACACAGCACACACGGTGTCACTGAAACCAGATCTTAGCATCCCATCACCGCACAATTATACACAAAGCTGCCAGACGGTTTTCTGGCAAGCAGGTCCCATTGTGGTGAGCTTCCATCAGGGACCCAAGAATTAAGTTCAATTGTCCCTCCTCCTAATACCCTAGGTCCACCAATCACAATTAACCGATCTCCACATGCCCGGAATGCTAATCCCCAACCATTCATCGAGACAGCCCGCTCAGGCAATCTCCCAACAGCCACCCACACGTTCTTCTCCTTATCGTATTTCCTCACCTCCTTTTCTGCATAATCTGCAGCATACAATATGTTATTTACCACTGCAAGCAGAGGAGGTGCCTCAGCTGCAGCAGGCGCCTCAGCTGCCCCAGCTCCTCCATTTCGTCCAGGGAACATGTTTGGTATCTCAGTCCAGGTCCCCTTCTCCAAATCGTACACCTCTCCGCTTGTTAGTTGCTTTGGATCGCCCACTCCTATCCCACCGATGACATAAAACTTCCCATCCATAAATACCCCAGAACACATTTTTCTAGGTTTATTCATGTTTCGAAGAGTCAGCCAAGTTCCTGTTTCTGAATTATACAGCTCAGCAGAGTTCAAGATATTGCCACGTGGATCGCAACCCCCAGCTAGAATTGCAATTTCCCCACGGCTAGCAGAACCGAACAAGCATCTAGGTGTATTCATCTTAGTGCCGGATGACCACGTGTTGGTCAAAATGCTGTATCTATAAATAACATGGGACGTTATTTCCTTTCCAAAAACAAGAAGTTCGGTACCAACGGCCAACGACTCCTTGTCCGAACACATGAAACAATCATTTGACGTCATTCTAGGCAAATGCATCCAACGTCTGCGATCGGGATCAAATGCCTCCCATTCAAGGAGGTTGCAAGAGAAGTAAACCCAATGTTCAACAATATCCATTTTCCGCCTCAGTGTGTACAGCTCCCCACTCCGAATTAGAGAGCGGAAGTTTTTATTCAATGAGGCAATTGAGCCATAATCAGACCTCGAGCAGCGAAGGAGACAGCTTATTGAGTTATCCCGACCAAGTTGGTTGATTAGTGAACTTGAATCAGAATTTCCACCTTCATGATGCTGGTCATTTGACTGGTCCTTGGCAGGGGAAAGAGAAAGGCCATTAAGATCCAAAACTGCTTCACCTCCTAGAACAGCATCTGATAGCTTGCATGCCTTCCTCAACGTGAGTTCTTCCCCGTCTGCAAGGGGGCGCTTATTGTTTGAGAGCTCCATAACACGGTGAGTATTGTAAATCCATTTGCTCTCCTGCTCGCATGAGCTCGGCAACTCCCTTGACACAAGATAGGAAGGACCCTCCAACATGTTGTTGGAATTCTCCAATTTGACCAGCTGGAAAGAAACCCTTCCTTTGTTACCCATGAAAACAAAATCAATGAGTAAACAAAATGAAATTATACGCCTTAATTACTCCATATGCAAAAGCAATTATGAGCTAGGTATCTGCCAAACAGACAATCCTTGAATTAAATCAAGATATCACTAATACTGATTTCACATAGCAAATATCATACAACATAACAGAGAATGGAGGGGTGGTTAATGCAAATCCCAGAAAAATCTCCTATATAGAAAAGCACATGCAGCAATGCATTTTAGATCAATATCATATCTTTATGTATCAAATATTCATTACTCATTGATAACAAGTAAAACGGCTAAAATTTGAGTGAGAAACATAAACTTGCATGTATATATCCAATCCATTGCCAAAGATGAAAATTGCCCAAATCAGATCTCGGGATTCAGACCAACATAGAAAACTCCAGAAAAAGAAAAAGGAAAAGATAATCAATTGAAAACTGATTATCCACATCCCAGACTGTAATCAAAATGTTAATGCAGCAGCTAAATCCAAATACGAACAGCTGTTCTCTAACAAAGAAAAACAACGAAAGAGATCCATTCCCAATTCCCCGTCAATAGCAAATAACCCATGAGCTCTTCTTCTCTCTTCCTTACCAGGAATTGAAGAAATGGTAGCTCCCCAAACAAAACGAAAAAGCTAAACCATGGCAAAAATGAACCAGAAAACTTGGCAGAAACATGAACACAAAGTAAAAGCTTACGAATTTGATAAGAAGAAGACGGTGAGTATGACCCCAGCTCCTCTTCTTCTTCTTCCTCTCCTTCTCTCTCTTGCTCTAGATTCTCTCTCTCTCTCTTTTGCTTCTGGTTATATTCGCTGTGTGGAGAGAGTAATGTATTAAATAATGCGTGTATATAAAAAGAGTTAGGAAAATATTTCTTTTAATAAATTTTATTTTACAGAAAAGAAGAGGGTGTTCCGGGACCCACGACGGGGTATAAGTCGCCGTTTGGGATTGCGGCCAAGACGTACCGAAACTGCTAACGGCCGTTTCTGCACGTGTTAGAAACTTAGGAGGCCTGATCCCATTAGTAAACAAAACGACAAGTCTCGGTTGCGTTGCAAGCGCATATGGTAAGGTTTTCTGGATGGTGGTGGTTTTGAATTTTGATGGTTTTTAAGCTTGTTTCTGGATTTCCTCCATGGCATCCTCGCTTTCATTGCATTTGCTTGTTTTGTTTTGGTTTGCGGATATCATCAAATTAATTGTTTTGGTTGGATTTTGTTTTCAATGAGTTGGATTCTTCCACATTTTCATTTCAGTTACATTTTTTTTTTCCTTCAAAATTCATGCAACAAAAACAATATTTGAATTTCAATCACTCACGACACTCACAATACCGATAGAGATGATGACCACAGCATTTTTATATCCAGAATACTCCGTCGGTGCCGTCATGGAAAGCACTAGTATATGAAATCTTTTTGTGTCGTTAATGTTAAAATCAAATTTTAAATTTTAAATGTTTCATCGGTGCGATCATAGAATTTCAAAATACTTTATTGATGTAAATTTCAGAATACTTTATCTGTGTGGTTATGAAATATTATGTGAAAACTTTTCAGTACAACTGGATAACAATAAACTTTAAAACTCAAAAAACTACGGCGCTTCATCGTTACGTACCTTTGCTTAGCATTAATTTCAGAAATACTTTATTGGTATGGCATAATTTTTTTCACATAACATGCATGCAGAAAATTTCAAAAGATTTTTTTTTAGGCAGGGATGCTACAACCATTTTAGACCTTTACGTAGCTCCGCTCCTCGTGTATAGCTTTCTATTTCAATATTATCATGTATACACTGTTATTTACGATGAAATTAACTCAGTTGCAATATATAGGTCGTAAATTGAAGATGATTGGTACTCTCGAAGCTTGCTTTTTTTTCATGTATTAGGGCTCATTTGGTTCACGGATTGAACTTCTCTGGGAATGAACTTCCCATGTCTAATCCCATGAGATGGGATTGGAGGATGTTCATTCCCATGTTTGGAAACGTTGGGAAATGACGATAAGGAAATGTCATTTTATCTCATTCCCATGTTTAGTTTGTGCAGTATTATTAAGAATGAAAAATTGTTCAGTCTTCCAACAATACCCTTAACTTCTTTTTTTTATTACAAAGAAAGAAATATGAAGAGTTTTTCTAAGGGTAAAACATGGTATTTTAAAACTAGAATATGGGTAAGTTAGTAACAAAAATTTGCATTAAATGTTTTCCCAAGTGGGGGGAAAAATTTCCCAAGCTCATCCAAGGGTATGTGCGAAGTGCACTCACCAAACACGAGAATGCAATTTCAAACTCATTCTCAAGAAATATAAGATAATACTTATTTTGAATTACATTGCAATTAAATGAAAAATCATACCCTATCAACTATGATAGTATTGTCAGGATATATGCCATGAAGCTATAACAGAATTAGGTTGTCTTTTTCCTTTCTTGGATGGAAAAGCTAGTATATAATCCAAGAAATATAGACAGCTACCTATCTGATTAACTTGAAAACGTAATCGTTTCGTTTCTATATCGATTCAACGGTGTATCTTTGTCATTTAAAAAGAATATTTCTGTTTACTATCAATGGCAAAACTTTTACTTTTTATAGGATTGTTTCCTGCCTATAGTAGCGGAAATACCTTTGATCGAAAAAAGAAGAAGGAACAATTCTGGGAATTAAAAAAAATGAAAGGGAAAGTATCGTTTTCCTGCCTATATTAGCGGAAATACCTCTGCCAAACTAAACATTACAAACATGTTAACATGCAAAAGAAAAAAGTGGTTGATGTTTTTCCAAATTTTGGTGATGTCTTTTCTTTTCTCAAATGTATTACCTCATTTACATTATGTTGGAATCCCAATATTTCACCTAAAAAAACATTTAAAAAAAATAGATTGTCGCATTTGAACATGGTAATATTTTGATATTAAACTGTGATATCAGATTATATTTTAATTTTGATAATTCGTTACACGCATTATCGACGTACGGATTAGTTTAGGTGAATTATTGTACTGCGAATGAGAGTAGTGTAGTGCAAGGAACAAAGGCACAAAAAGCATATGTACAAATGAGAGTGGTGTACATTTCTGCATATGTGTCTTTAGTTTTTGCAAAAGGCGTAGAAGCAATCTCTATATATAACTCTCTTTAATCTCTCTAAGATCACAATGTGCCATGATTAACAACCCTGCGGGCCTCTGCATAATTATCTTCATGAGTAATTGGATAAAAGAAAAAGATGAGGAAAGAAGACGTGGAATTAGTCTAAGCCAATTAAGGGTTATGATTGGGTTTTCAGTTTAAGCCCTGCATTATCAGTACATAGCATTATTTGTAATGAGAACGACATTGCTTTATTTTGGCCACCACAAAGAGATAATAGACCACACAAGAGATTAAGAAATATGATTAAGAATAAAAGCATCTCCTCTCTCTCTCTCTCTCTCTCTCTCTCACACACAAAAATAATTATATGGAATCTGTAATTTAATCACGATTTGTGAATATGATTGTTACCTGTTTTGTCTAAAAAAAAATATATGTCAAATCCAGCGTTTACTCTTTTGGTTTTGTTTTGTTTGTTAGTTTTTGTTTTCTTGTTTTTGGCTTTTGTGATTTTTTTTTTGTTGCCATGGAAACTGTTTAATTAGCCGGTAGCAATAGTTTATAATGAGGTCAAAGTCAAAGGGATATAAATCTTGCCAATGGAATACGAAAGATAAAATGTCAGTTGATCTTGGTGGTATCAAAATCAACCCTGCGGGTTTCTGTTAAGGACTTACTCAAAGTGTTGCATGTAATTAAAGAATAAATTTTCAGTGTCATGTCATATTATATCAATGTTTATATTTAATAATACTACGTACTATAATATATGTAAATCGGTAACATGACGTACATAACGATAATATAATCACATGTATAAATTTCTCTCTTAATTAACATGGTGTATAGATTGTTTATTTATAGACTAGATTTGGATTTCCGTATTAATTAACATGGCATTAATACTTGAAAAACACATCATAATCTTTGAGTTTCCAATGAAATTTGGATTAAGAGTCAAGATCAATAGCCAAAACAAGAAGAGGATCTTGATTCTTGGTTGAACTATATAGTTGATTAACAGCAAATCTTTGTGTTAGATAAAGTTTATAAAATGGAGGGTTTAACTTTGCTAGACCCACATGGATGTGTAGTTGAATATTCGATTCGACCGGAGTCTGAATCTATATATATATATATATATATCTTCATGAATAATGATTGTTACCCAATTTGGCATCACTTGAAAAGAAAGCCCAGCAAATTTGGATGCTTGGAAGCATTGTGTGCTGGCTGCTGCTGCTGCCCCTGATGAAAGGCAGGGCTTCATTTCGGAGACAATATATTATATTCCAATAAGGTTTTAGTTTTTGAGACTGTTTAGGTCACATCAACAAAGAACCTTTTAAATTGTCAGGTGAAAAAAATGCATCAGATGCTATGTGCTCTCTCTCTCTCTCTCTCTCGATACTTGATATGCCACTACTGCTGGAAGAATAAAATTAAAATGGCTTCCAATCATTTGATCTTAAAAGGATAATTAAAATGCCACTACTACCGATGTATTTCAAGAAAAACCCTGAATGTGCCTGGCTTCTGAGCAAGGTATCCTATATAGCTAGCCTATTCAAGCATCCTATAGCTTGTCAAATGCCCACTTCGTATACTTTCCTTGATATCTAAAGCAAAAAATCCAAATTGAAAGTAATATCAGAGCAATTGGAATAAGTTACATTTTCGATCAGTCAGGAATAAGTAACTCTCAGAAAACCACTCGGAGATCCCCCACAACAAGATCAAGAAGAACCACAGAAGAGAAGTACAAATTCTAGTCAACCAACAATAATGTGCTCATGTGGGAATGTGGGAATTTGGAAGTGGATCTTAATTATCTTCATTAGTGAGAATATTAAGCCACTGATCATAAAATTAGTCTACCAAACCAATAAGATTCACCATATCTTTGACTAATTGTACATATATCACCCCACCCATAATAGTCTTTAATTGACCAGATAGATAGATAGATCATTTCTTGCTTTCTATGGTCTGCAGCCCGCATGCAGGATAGTGCAAGTGCTATAAAGTGTTGGTTTGTTTATGGAGCCATCTCGTTTGATAACCTTTTTTATTTTTTATTTTTTTACGTTAAAGTATAGAGAAAAATAAGAGTGAAAATAGGGGTGATGAGATTGAAGGTGAGGATGGGAGTGACGAGTAACAAAAGTGAAAATAATTTTAAATAGATTTTAGTTTTTAGTTTTGGTTTTCATTAGTCCTCCCTTCCATCCTCCCCTCTCATCCTTCCTCTCAATCCCATCTCCACTTTCATTCTCCCACTTTTTTCTCTAAACTCTACCACAAAAAATGAAAACTAAAAACTAAAATTGAAATTGTTATCAAACGAGGACCTTAACTTCTCCAACTCATAGAAAACCAAAACAATCTAATCTCATTGGTTTGAAACATATATACCTGATATATTAATGTAAAGCAAATAAATTTTGCATCTCAATCGATCTAATTGTTCAGCATAAAGTGAGAGAGTCAACAATTTTAGGTTAAATTAATTTGAAAAACAAAAAGATCATCGACATTTTGGCATCTATGCCATTCAATCAATCTGAATGTACATGCACATGTCATTTCAATTAAGAATGATTCCCAAGTTCTTGAGAAATTATTTCCCTATCTCTCCATATAATATTGTTTGACAGTATATGAACTACTCATTAACAGACCATATATTTTAGTTCTTATCAAGTCATTTTC